GTTTGGATGTATGAGTGGTGTAATAGATAATGTCATGGAATTGTTAATCAGAGACCCGAGTTCCAATTCCTTTTGGGTTCATTATATTCACTTATGTGCAAATACTCTTGGGAAAGGTATCAATCCATCTCTTCTCTCCCCAGCTGTGGGTTAATTAACAAGTCTTGTTTCATGAAACCAATATCATCTCAAAAAAAAATCTGAATATCTAAAAATATTTTCTGGCTTTAAATAACCTGCAAAAGATGTAAAAATGAATGGATCAATCAAATCAAATTTTAAAATCATAAATAAGTTGTTAATATTTCTCTGTTTATTCACATTATTCTCACGGTAATAAATGGAAGTGAATTTTCAGACCCATTTATAGGAACAGAATCATGCATGTGAGAAAAAAAAAACAGTTAATTTTTTTAGACCCTTCATATTTTAAACCAATCATATTTTGAAATTTACTTACATATATGATTGTTTATTTTCTTATTTTGCTCAAATGTATTGCTATTAATAAAAAAAAGGTTATTTCTATCCAGAACTGTCTGACAATAAAAGAATAAACATTGAAATACTAATAAAATTGTTTTTAATTAATGTGTTTATATTGAATATTATTATTTCATGTAATAATTAATAATGTGATATTATAAATAAAATCCATTAACTTTTTACATTTAATACTGAGTTCTTTATTATCAAGCATGTTTTTTGGTGTTATTTTAATTCTTAAGAATCGGAAATTGTATGAGGATGAATGTCTTCAGAGAGAAATAGAAAATTCATCAGTTTATTCTAGCACAGGGCTAGACAAAGAGGTGAAAGAACTGGCTTGTAATGTCTTAAGCGACAAACTATCAATAAGATAACTAATCATTTCACTAAAGTAAGTTCTTTAAACATTAGTATTTATAAATCTTAGCCTAGTCTGATACAAGAATATAATTATGGTGCACTCAGGGAGAATTATATTTATTAAATTCCTGAGATGTATCTGCAAATAATGTACAATAGCCATCACATTAGAGCTTTATATGCACATAATGTCAGTTATTATGAAACTTTTTTCAAGTTTTTATGATTCAAACAACTTTTATATCTGATAATAAAATTGTTATTAACCAACAGATATTGGCAACATTTTCAGGATATGCTCTTATTTATATGAACAAAGTATCATGTGAGTTTCAGCTTTTGTAATATTTATCCTTATTAAAAATATTGATAAGATATTGTTTTTGAAGTGTCAGATTTTATTATACAGATAAAGGTCAAAGTATCCCATATCCCTAAAATAAATTATTGTTTTGGATTTTGACATGTTAATGCAGACTTCTTAGTATCCTATAACCTTCACCATATTTTAACCATTTATCTTATTAACTTTTCTATGGTTTCAAAGTTAACATTGCTTGCAACAGTTTTTATTACTTTCAAGATGGCTTGAATATTATTTTTCAATTTTCATATTTATCTCTTTTAATGACAGATCACAAGTTTTCATTTTAATATTAATCTAGAGTTGTTAAAATTAATTTAGTGTTAGCATGCAGTGGAATTAGAGCAGAAATTAGATGAGAACAGTGCCATTACATTAAAGACACTAGAACAAAGAATGGGTTTTTATGCTCAGAATGATATCTGAAAGAGCATTACAAATGCAAAAGGAAGTATATTTATGATTTATAGATTATGCAAATCATTTAATAAGTATATCACAAAGAATTGTTTGAAGTACTATGTAAGCTTGATTTATTTGGGAAGGATATTAGAATAATCCAAAACATATAGTGGAAGCAACTTTCACAAATCTGTATTTAAAGAAATAGGAAAGTGAATAAGACAAGGATGTGTCTTCTCACCAGACTTATTCAATATTTACTGTGAAGCAATCCTGAGAGAATTATAATTTCTAACAAGATTCATTATTGGTGGTCACAATCTTAACAACATAAGATATGTAGATAATACAGTGTTGATAGCAGGCACTCCAAATGAAGAAAGTAAAGGAAAGCTAGAAGAAAGGACTAAACATCAATTGTGAGAAGATAGAATCTATGGTTTTCAAGAAAACGAACAACTTAATATGCCATCTACCAAAATCAAGAAAATACAAAAATCTAAATATTTAGGAAAATGGAAAATGTCAACCCAAAATTCCATATTGCAGTATTGCATGTTGGGCCAGACCTGGCTAGGTTTTAGATGCACTAGGCTGATTGTTGTGGCTTGATACAGAAAAAGTGGAATGATTGAAAAGTGTACTGACCAAAAAGTACCTCTTTTAGGGAGTTGGAATTCTTTTGTCTTATCAGCTTGATTAAGATATGTCATTATTCACATCTTTCAGCCCACAAACTCAGTTTTGCTTGCTACACAGGCTGCTCTAGCGATTGCTATGAGAAAGAATCCTGTATGATAATGCCATTGTCATGATGACAATGGCAGTAGTAATTCTGAATTACTTTACTCTCTCACAAATGAAAAACAAAAACAAAAATACTCTCAGCCCCCGCCCACTCAGTTGTTTATATAACACTGGAGGAGATAACTTATATCCGCCAGTGTCTACCTGTGGAAGTCCCCGATTCTATTTCTACTCTACATTCACTTTATCTATTACCAGAGTATCATAGCAACTATCCCATCTCACTGTTGAAAAAAAAACATGAATAACCACAATCATTTCTTTGACTGTTTTTACCATCCTGTGTATGACAATAAACTACATCCGCGTCCTGGATAAGATGATAAACTACGTCCAACAGCAAAGCCTCTGATCAGGAGGTTTTGAGGAGCATGGAACCACCTCTTAATTGCTGGTGTTCCCAGATCCACCCTGACCTGGAGTGGTAGCAACTGTAAGGGTCCTAGATATGGGCAAATAGTTAACACCCAAACCTGTGTAAAAATAGGTTTTAATACCAGAAATACTTTGTAATAAAAAAAATTATTACCAACAACAATTTTTGAAGGAAAAATTATTATCAGCAATAATTAAAATTTACAGTGAAACATATACTGTTAGAGTTTGTAGATTTTGATCTAGTGCGAACAAAATATTACCAAGTGAGTAATTTAAAAAAAAACTTTTTACAAAAATAAAACTATCCAAGATTGTAAATTTCCTAAAAGTTGGATTGTACTAAAAAATATGATTAATTGAAAAATGGTTCAAATATATGTATATATACATACACACCTTTTTTACCAAACTATTGCTATGAACTTATTTCAAAAGTTTTGTTGGCATTAAATGACCCACTGAGGTTTTGATATGCCGTAAAACAAAAAACCAACCAAAAACAACCAATCAACTTTTTATTATTCATGATTTTTTACCAGGGACTCAGTTTTTAACCCCTGCCCTTTTTCAATATCCGACCACATCAATCCTCCAAGAAGCTGCATTTAAAACTTAACCAGGTGCTGTTTGAATGTGCAACACTAATGCATCTTACAAGTTGACCAATATCACAACTATTTTTTAAACTATGAAAAATGGTAGGGGTGGGTAGAAAATTATTTAATGCTGACCCCTGTAACTTCTCTCTTCTCCCTTTAACGTCATCAAATGTTTTTCATATTTGTATGTGTGCAATTATCAATTGGAGTAGTAAAATCCAAAGGTGCATTAGAATAAAGAAAGATGTCTTCCAAAAGCTAAGCAAAGTATTAAGAAACAGAAAAATATGATTAAAAACAAAGAAAAGAATACTGAACTGTTATATAATATCAGGTCTTCTATATGGCAGTGAATGTTGGAAAAGATGTCTTCCAAAAAGTTGTCTTCCAAAAGCTAAGTAAAGTATTAAGAAACAAGAAAATTTCATTAGAAACTAAGAAAAGAGTACTGGACTGTTATATAATATCAGTCCTTTTATATGGCAGTGAATGTTGGAAAAATTAATCAGAGATGAAACAGAAAAACAAGAGGCAATAGAAATGGGGTTCTACAGAAGGATGCTGAGAATACCATGAACTGAACACATGAGCAATGATGAAGTTTTAGTGAAAATGAAAAGGATACTTACACTTAGAATCATAAAGAGACAATTGAAATTTCTAGAATATATATTGAGGAAAGATGGTTTGGAAAATTTAACACTTGCAGGACATGTTGAAGGCAAGAAAAACAGTGAATAACCTACCTAACAAACTTGTATAAATGGTTAGAAGAACAGGGATTAGTAGAGATAGCAAAAAGAGAAACATTGCAAAGCGCTACAAATCTTGAAGGGACATGGCACATAGAAGCAGATTATTAAAATTAATTTTCTGTTTTTAAAACATTTTTGCCAAAGTAGAGAATTGTCAAGTAACATTAATTTGCATAGATTTATGCAAATTATTTATACAAATTATATTTATGCATATTAATGTTCAAAACTTCTTTTTATAACCTGAACCTCTCTGAAAATATCTTGTCTAAAAAATGACAGCATTTCTCTACATTTATATTGGCACCACTATTAATTTGGAAAGGGGACTATAATTTTTATGGTCTACAATAAAAGCAGAAAACATTACTCCACATTTCCTTCATTGTCTTCTAATTTCTGTTTATTAACTATTTCCATGAAAGATTCAACTTCTTCCATAATATAATTCCAAGTGAGCAATATCGAACTATGTTCATCACTAAAATTACATTTAAGAAATTAATTTTCAAGTACTTTTTTATTCACCTTACATTTTTTCTTTATGATGGCTACTTAAAGTTGATAGTTTAGTTGCTTTTATTGTCAAAATCATACCTGTATATATGTGCATGTACACTTTTATATAGACTGGCTTATCATAAGAGCAGTAGGGTTAGAAATATTATACTGCAACTGTCTAAACAGATAGTTAGTAGATAATAGTGGTTTATCGATGATTTAATTCCACTATTCTCTTTTCCATCAATCATTATGGCATTCAGCTGTCAAGATATTCTTGTCAAAATATCTGCTGATCAAACAGAATACAGGGAGAAGTGAATTCATGCCTTTTTCCAAAAGCTT